AAATAATTGTTTTGTTTTTTTTTTTTTTTACTATTTCCCTGAATATTATCTCCTCTATTCAACCCACCATAACAAATGCTACTGATGGATCCTGCCTTCAAATCTCTAGTTATTCCTGAATACTTGGTTCTACTGTTATCATCTTAGTTTTGTGCCTTATCTACTTTTAGCTAAGTTAGAGGGGTCTGGGGGATCTAAAACTTAGCATGCACACAACTAAGGCTTTAGCTTTCTAAAATATGGACTTGTTACTTTGGCCTATTACAGAATCTTCATCATCCCCCTCTACTTCATGATGACCTGAGCCCTAAAATATCATCTTTCCAGGATCTGGTCTGATTTTTGCCTATCCAAGCACAGATTCACAGCCCTAAATAGGCCCGTTTTCTTTCTGTCCCCTGCACAAGCCACGTACATTTTTGCTACCATGCTTTTGATCCACAGTCTTTTTACCAAAATATACCAAATGTGCTCACTCTGCTTTCTGATTTGTGTGGACAGTATATATTTTAATTTTTCACTCAGTTAGATATAATTCTTTAGTAATAAGTAAGTAGCTTAACTAGAATTCAGAATTAGGTATAACTCCAAAGTTTATGCTCTTTCTAATATATAGCACTACCCCTCAGTATTCAATAAATGTTGTTTCGCATAAGAAACTAGATGCTATAAAATCAGACATCACAATGCTTTACATTTAACTGGTTTATCTTAGCTTGGTTGGAACAAAACAGAATTTTAAATGGCATTAAAGTTTTTTTAACTTTATGCATATCAGTAAATTTCTCAGGAAATCTGCTCAAATAAAATTACTCATTCTCTGAATCTCTCTAATTAAACTATACAACCTACTTCAGGGTAAATGCTAACTCCTAAAATTGTTAGCCTAAAGGAATAGCTCACATATCCGGAAGTTCACTCCAAGGACCACTCCAGTGTCAAGGAAAAAATATTAAAAGCCTAATTTTATAAATTATTCTTACGGTGATAAACAACCAATCCCGTTAAAACAGGCTGCACTACACCAAACTTACCCAATTCACTTTATAACAAATAGTCATTATCTTTAGGCTAGATTTTAATAATCATGAGAGTGACTGTTATTTGGGGTTTATAATACAGAACCCTCCTTCTGCATTAAAGTGCTCTTGTCTCTCTTTTATTTCTAAGTAATACATAAGAAATCAAATTGTCTTGAATTATCTTTAATAATTTATAGGGTCAGTTTTTAATGGATTTATATTACATATGTATATTTCTTTTCTTATATATATTATAGTACATATATGTGTTTTACATATATATTTTACACATGTATATATATATATTTTATATATATATACTTGTGTAAAAGAACCCTCTCGGCATAGATTTTTTGAAAATAGTTGCTTAATTCTAGGCCAGTAAGGGAGGATAGACTGGAAAAGTAAACTATCCTTAGTATTTCTCTCATAGGACAGAACTTATCTCTCTTACCTTTCCTGTCCCGTCCTTCATCAACACATACTGGCAGACTTCCTAGGGCAATGCAGAAATCCAGACAAGAGAAGGAAGCACACTAAAATAATGGAGGACAGGCTACAGAAGATGGACAGTGTCAGACATCATGTGGGAGAAAAGAAGGAATTATCACAGTTAGCCACTTTGTTCAAGAGAAACTAATACTAGTTATTTTAAAGGTAGAGAGATAAGAAAAAAAAAGAAAGCTCTTTTATTTCTTTGCAGCAAGGCTCCTTTTCATAAGAACAGAGGAGAGTTGCAATTAATTTGGAAATTTGTCTTCAGAGAAACAGATATAACTTAGCAAACAGTACAAAGGGACAAATGGTAAGATTTTTCCAATTTAAAAATATTAATCAAGAGATACAATTATAGGCATTGAGAAAAGAAAAAAAAGAACTATAATCTAGAAGCTGTTAAGAGACCTGTTCTATCTTTCTTCTCCAAGAGAATACAGACTATTAAAAGCAATAGGAATCCCAATGTTTATAGGTAAAATGATGAATGAGGAATATGCATGTAAGTATCCTTAACTGCATGGTCTTACGCTATGTAAAACAATAATGTCACATTTAACAATGGACTTCTAGAAACTGAAGGAAGTAGTCCAATGAGGAGCTTTTTCACATCAGGGACAATCTTCTGTACATATTTGCATGACATGAAATACCTCCTCTACCTCCTCCCTAGGAACTGACCCATCTACATACCACAGTGCTTGAAATACCACCATTGGGAGACAAGAATCCTTCAGATTTAATACAGCCTTTGTAATTTACTACTTTTTTCCACCAAATGCGAGAGCTGCAAAAGTTTGAAGCTACTCACACTGGCAGTGTGATTTTATTTCTTCCAATTAGAGACAGTTAATAAAGATGGATACCTGCATGGATCAAGGCATAGGAAAGGGGGCAAAAGAGGATATGGAACTTTAGAAAAACTATTTTACACTTGGGTATAACCAGTTGCTGTTATGAATACAATATAGGTTAAAGCCTCTGTCTATGTGATTTAGACATTTCTTGAAAAATATTTTTTTAACTTTAAGATTTTATTTTTAACTCATGTATAGTTAACAGGGCATTTCCTTAAAATTAATGTTCAATTTTGACAAGTCAATTAAAGTCATGACATTTCTAAACAAAAATGATAAGGCTACATTTTGTCAATAAGGCTATATTTTCTGTAAAGTAAAAGGTAATTTATGTAAGAATGAATTCCTTTTGAAAATTTAAGTGATTTTTATCAATTCTGATAATATCTGAATTGGTCTATCCAAAGTTGTTAAATCAAATGCATACCTCATATTCTTTTCTGCAAACTTTGGAAATATCATTTTTTGAAGATGCCTAAAAGATAACCAATTTCTCCATTAGTTTATTACACATACTATTCAACACAGGACAAAAAGAACACAAATTAATATATGTTACTTGGTTTGGTATTCTTTATTTCATCAAGAAAAACCTTATGCTCTAATATTTAAAAGTTCCTAAAATACAACAAACAAATTTCATGCAAGTTCTTTAAAGTAAACATCAGCCCCAGAACCTACCCGATATGCTAAAGCTTTGCTCTTTTATGGCTTTAATCTCACATAATAACAGGGTCCTTTTGTTATTTCAGAAACTAGATGACTTTGAAGAAAATGTAAATCAGAGAATTTTTTTTCTTAGTTGAAATCCACTCTGTAGCAAATTTTCTTGTGAAGCTCTGCCAGGGCATTTATATTTTGCTTTTTCTTTAACCCTTCATATTCTAAATTCTCCTACTGACTTACGAGCCAATTTCCTCAGCAAAGATCCATATGCAATGGAGGGGGCAACTAAAGAGGAAAAGGCTTTGTCAGGCAATTAACAAAAGTAATTTTTATGTAATTCTCTTTATGCACCCTCCCACCCCCCATCCACTACAGTTCAAGCCTCTGCAACTCAGCTTCACCTCAATGGCTGAAGCACAGCAGCAGATCACTAGACTGTACACTGCTCAAAGAGTGTTGCTCAGGCTAAACAGTACAGTGGTCTGTATGAAAGTAAAGGTGACACCATGTCTCATGTACTCTGGTCCAGAAACCAGTCACTAGAAGAAGAAAGTAAGAGAAGGCTCTCCAGCTGTGATTTCAGGTCCATCTAAATTTCCCACTTAAATCTACTCTCACCGCTTGGGAGTATGAGGAGCTAGGAGACCAGTTCTCCCACAGCACTCTGAGGAACCACTATGAAAATATACACAGTGAGGAAGAACTCAACTTGAATTGGACCAGAGATCTATCAGATCAAAGAGAAGTCACAGTTCACCGTAGGAGTCATGCTCACCTCAGGAGCAGAGAAGGGATAAAAGAACATGCCCAGGGTAAACCCATGATGAAAGAGAGAACGGAAGATGAAAGTGAAATAAGCCAGCTGTGTCATCTGCTCTCATCCAAGCATACTCTAAATTTACACAACCATTCGGAGTCACTCAGCACTGACTAAGCATGAACACAGGAAAGTACAAAAGGCCTCAGCTCCTGTAATGTTCTTTCTTTGCAGGGCAGAGAAAAGTTAAGAAAGAATAAGAGAAGGTTGAGTGTCTTACATGCAGCAGCCACAAATGAGAAAGCAGCAAGTCTAAAAGGCAGTGGTCTATGTAAGAAATGCTAAATTTGTAGTTTTTATGGGTCACCCCTCCAAAGGTATGAGGTGGGCAAGGTCCAAGACATAGACGCAGCTAATACTCAAACTGTATCCCATGCTGCTCACGAGCCTGATTGCCATGTTACCTGCTTGCATGCCTGTCGACACTCCAAGGTAATAGCCAGTTCACAGCAGCCTAAGCCAACCCAGCCATCAGACTTCTTAAACACACCTTAAAAACAAAAAGTTCAAATGTTTCAGTCATAAGGAGTAAGAAACACAAATGGCATGCCCAATTGGTTCGTGGATACCAGTAAAAGTCAAAGCAGGTGTCTACAGGAAAACTAGCTCAGATAACAAGGCCTCAAAATTATTAAGGCCCTCCTCCCCTGCTTACTCCCAATGCTGCCAGTCTTCTCAGAGGCCCTTACAGCATAATTACCAGGTGCTCCGTTTTTTTCTCTCTTCCCTCTGCCCACCCTAAACTCTCTTTAGATCACTCTCCCTCTTGGGTAAACAGCATCTCTACAGGACACACAGGTTAAGAAAATAAGGAGAGTGAATCAGAGGCAAAGACTGTGAATCAGAGGCAAAGATTCCAATTTAACTTAACATGCAAACAAAAAGGGCATAAGGATTATTGTACTCAAAATATTAAGTAACTAGAATGGTGTAAAACCTATGATGCTGTTTAGAAATTGATACTTATTGAACAGAAAAATACATCTTCTGTGGGTAAGAATGGACTTTGGTGGGTACACTTAATTATGGGGCAAAATGACTACTCTGTTGCAGTTTATACTCAGCAGCTGTTCTCCAACCAAATTACTGTGATATCGAAAGGTGATGCAATTATAAAAAGTGTTCTAATGAATTTTTTACATCCACTTTTGCAAGTATAAATGTCAACGAATGACTCCTAGGATAAAATTAGGAGACACAAGTAGTAATTATGAAAAGAGAAAAGACATATGCTCATAGGCATGTGGCAAATTTCACCTTATCTATTTTCAGAAATATTTTACACTGCTTCCATGTAATACATATGTCTGCAAATTCACATCTAAGTTATATTATTATTTAATATAATAATATATTAAATTGAAGGTATAAAGAATTCAATGCAATAGCTAACATAGTTCTCCAAATGAAATTAGGACTTAACACAACAAATAGAAACATTCTGCTAAAAAACAAAAGTAAACAAATGGCCTGCAGATGGACAAAGCTCTGAAAATTATAAACCACCCCAATTTTTAAAATTGGCTAGAAATACTGAGTATCGTAAGCTTCTGTATCCCTACATGTTTTAATGGTACAAAGGGCAAGAGACTTGCATCTGGCCCCATTGCTTAGTACAGTTTCCTCTAAATCTCTGGTGCTTACTTTCAGAATCACTCACATTTTCATTATTTTGAATGGAACCAACGTAGGTCATAAATTCTGTGAACTTTTATACCCTACTGCAGTATATTGCTGCTTCCATACACCTGGTAGCCTCTTAGAAACTATTAAATTGTCCAATAAGCATTTATAATATTATGTACAAAGGACTCCATTAGGTATTGTATGGGCTATGAAATAGATAAAATATATGATTTATCCAATTATGGAGATTACATATGGAGGTATACTATCTTAGATATATATTATATACAAATAATTCCAGAACATTAGGTAGAGGGATAATTGAGAGAACAAGCAAGGATATGGCCAATTCCAAGAAGGCAAATAGTCCAACTTGGTTGAAATACAAACTTCAAACAGTGTGAAAGCCTTTAGAGTTCAGAGATACATAAAATACACTTCCTTTTTTCCTTTTAAGGCACTGGCTTTAACCAGAACTGGAAGACTGTGAATGCCAGGCTAGGGAGTCTGAGCTTTATTTTGATGGAAGTGGATATCCCCGGAGAGATTTTCTTCTTTTTGAAGGAGCCGGGGAGGACAGCTATGATATGTTGAAATACCAGCTACAAGGTTGTTACAACAGTCTACTCCAAGAGCATAACAATAATGGTAGGCATAGAAAGGACAGATGCAAGATTTTCCCAGGGGAGAGTCAATAGAGCTAAAAAGAAAAAGCAATCAAAGGTAACTTGAGGGATTCCAGTCTAGTGTCATTCACAAGACAGGCTGTTATGAGTCTGGTTTTAGGTTTGCACTTCAGTTGTCACCAGGATGCAGAGATCCAGGTAGACATGTCTAGAAGTCATGAGCTATAACTTGGATTTGAAGGTTGTCTTCCCAGGGCTGATTAGTTAACAGTTCTGGGAAGGAAAGCAATTATCAGGGTAAGTGTGGACGGAAAAGGGAAGGAATGACCCAAGTCCTTATGGGGGGAGAGGGGAGGTAAGAGAGGATAAGGTCATGAGGCCAAGGTGGAGTCACAAGGAGGTAATGGTCAACAGTGCTGCAAGGCAGTCAAAGGTGATAAGTACTGAGAAAAGGCCATAAGATTTAGGTACCATGAGATCCCGGTGAACTTGCAAAGACCAGTTTCACTAGAATGGTAGAAGTAGAGACAAGAGCACAATTAATTACTGAGTGAATGAGAATAAATTATACATTTGAAAATTTGGGTGCCTACCAAAAAGAGAAGATAGGAACTCAAGGGGATACATTAGGTTACAGGACTAAGACACAGATTTTACAATCACAAAATAAGTTTTTTTGTTTTTTTTTTTTTAATTTTTTTCAACGTTTTTTTTTTTATTTATTTTTGGGACACAGAGAGACAGAGCATGAACGGGGAGGGGCAGAGAGAGAGGGAGACACAGAATTGGAAACAGGCTCCAGGCTCTGAGCCATCAGCCCAGAGCCTGACGCGGGGCTCGAACTCACGGACCGCGAGATCGTGACCTGGCTGAAGTCGGACGCTTAACCGACTGCGCCATCCAGGCGCCCCCAAAATAAGTTTTTAAAGATAAAATGCCAAATGTTATTTAGCTATTGCTTACCTGGCAAAGATGAATTCATACAACTCCAAATTTCAACCTAAAATTGCAATCACCAAAAGGCTTTTATATAACCAGTTCCTAAATATGACAATTCATACAGAAATTATGTACAGCTAATTTGATTATGTTTGTCTCTATTTAATCAATGTTCTAAGACTACATGAGTATCAAGCAGCTATTCAGGCTTTTATATAACCAGTTCCTAAATATGACAATTCATACAGAAATTATGTATAGCTAATTTGATTATGTTTGTCTCTAATCAATGTTCTAAGACTACATGAGTATCAAGCAGCTATTCAGGGGGAAAAAATAAAACTGAGATGCAAAAATATTGCTTGCTCTTTTCCCATCTTCCCATCTAAGAGCACTAATGAGGAGTCTGGGTTCTCAGGATGCTTACTGGAATCACTGTTTCTAAGCAAAAGACAAAGTGTCTGTAGAGCGAGTAAAGGCAAATGTGTCAGTCAGAATTGTTTGATCAACATTTCCCGCCTCACATAATGCAAGCTACCGTATCTAAAAAGGCTGTCTCATGTAAGCTCAGACTTCCTGAGCCTAGCCCATGAATATCCCGAACACTGAGAATGGCCCCAGCACTGGAGACATGTTAAGTTACATGATTCAGACAGGCAAGCCAATATATCTATAGTACACCAAAAAATGGGAAGATAGGAATAATGAGAAGTCATACATTTCCCCTTACCCCAAATTTAACTTTTGAAAATCAAAATAAATATAAGATTTAGTTACTATGGTTTTCATAAAATTGTCAAAATGAGTAAAATTCCAAATTCCAGATAAACTTTATAATGAAATTTAAAGACTGCAATACATGTACATTTAATATTATTTTTATACCTACATTATAGGATAAATGATAAAAGATGAAAGATAATATCTACCGAGCAATCTGTGTGATGATCTTTTAAAAGTACCTTGCTAAATCGAACATTTTAATCTGATCACAACTTCAAACCATTTTGAAAAATTTCCTGAATCAAGGAGTTAACTCATTAGATGGCTTCACTTAGACAAAAGCTTCCATAGTTAAGTTAAACAAGACCTACCATTGTTTCAGGGCAATAATCTGGGGCTCGCTGTAACAGATGCTTTAGTCGGGATTCACTTTTTGAGGAGAATATCTATTTGACAAAACAAAACAAAACAAAACAAAAGGTTTTTGTGGCATTTTTTTTTTTGGTAAGAAATAAGAATGGGCAAAATTTATTGTCCTCTATACTTATCAGTTGTCTAGAATATTTTCCAACTTCCTTTTATAAATGGAAAACCTTTTGAAAGATCTAAATTAAGCTGAGCTAACATCTCTTAAAAGGTTGGTTAGTTTGGCAAATAATCAAGAAAGTCCATATATGCAAGTCTAGACCCTTTTCTAATGACCAAAAATGGAGAAAACCGGCTACCAAATCTGTTGGAGAACAAAGGAGAAAAAGAAAGAAGAAAACAGAAAAGAAAAAAAAAAGTTCATTCTAAACTGTTCTATAAACTGCTTTTAGTTAACTGATGACAATGTAAAACAGATTATGTCATATCCTTGATATTAGTGACGAACAAATTTGTGAATAGCATTATGGCACAAACTTCCATAAAATGGCATTAAATAGAGACAAAGTCATGGTGGGGGGGTAGGGGCTTTTATTTTATTTTTTCATTTTTATTTAATTTATTTTTTTTAATTTACATCCAAGTTAGTTATCATATAGTGCAGCAGTGATTTCAGGAGGCACAAAGTCATTTTTAATAAAGATCCTGAGGAGCTGACAAGTTTGTTCACCAGGCTAACTGGCTCTCTTCCAAAATAGAACTTTAATTAATGTGATTACAATTTGATGTCTCAGTAAATTATAAACCATTACATGTATCAGACAGAACTTCATGGTTACCTGCAAATAGTCAAGACTGTGAAATCCATGAATGCTAAGGACAATGAAAAAGGATTTATCTCCAGTTAGTTTTAATAGCCATTTTTCTCCCAAACTATCAACTATAATTAATAAGTGACAAGAGCCAGAATATCACCATTTTGCAACCCCTAGTGAATTAATGCATTTAGGCAATTATCAAGAATGGCTGTAATGTTAATTACAAAAAGAGACAACCAGACACAAACATTATAAGTAAGATCTGCTGAACAAACAAAACAAAACAAAAACCTAACCTGAATCTTATCAAGTCTCTGGACTTGTCTCATTAGGTAACTGCTAGCCATGTGTGACCATCTAAATTCAAACTCAAATCAGTTAAAATCAAATAAAATTTAAACTCAGTTCCTCAAACTTCTCTTTCTCTTCAATCTCTTTTTTTTTTAAGTTTATTTATTTATTTTGAGAGACAGAGAGAGTAAGTGCAAACAAGTGGGGTAGGGCAGAGAGAGAGGGAGGGAGAGACAGAATCTCAAGCAGGCCCCACACTGTCAGTGAGGAGCCTGACTCAGAGCTTGAACCCACGATGAGATCATGATCTGAGCCCAAACCAAAAGTGATGCTTAACTGGCTGAGCCACCTAGGCACACCTTTCCTCAACTTCTTTAAACACATTTCAAATGTTTACCTGGCACATATAGCTGTGGCTACTATATTGGATCACACAGATACAGAATATTTTCATCACTGCAGAAAGCTCTCTGGATAGCCCTGCTTTAAATCTACCTACCACTTACTAAGACATACAGAGGAAAGAGGAACACATTAAATGATATCATGGGTTACAAACAGCATAATTCAGATTGTGAGAAACTCTACAGGATAAATGACCAGATTTATTCATTAAATAAGCAAAGTTAGGAAAGCAGTGTTTCCAAAAGCAGCAGAACTATTTTAAAAGCTCCCTTATGGTGACACTATCTAGGGACCATTTCTGCTTTTAAAAGCTACTGTTCTGGCAGTAAATTTGCAGAAAACCTAATTTGCTATATTGTTTTGACATGAAGTCTCTAGCAGTTACCTAGATGAGCTGAGTCACTGTCTTGTTTTATAATTAGAGAGTATCTTGCAAAATCTTTCTAAATTCACAATATTGTTTGAGAGAAGTTTTAATCCCAGTTAGGTAGCTCTCTAAATTTTAGGCAGTGACAAAATCTACATTATTGAAAACTCTTTAAAAGGCAATTGAGGGGCGCCTGGGTGGCGCAGTTGGTTAAGCGTCCGACTTCAGCCAGGTCACGATCTCGCGGTCCGTGAGTTCGAGCCCCGCGTCGGGCTCTGGGCTGATGGCTCAGAGCCTGGAGCCTGTTTCCGATTCTGTGTCTCCCTCTCTCTCTGCCCCTCCCCCGTTCATGCTCTGTCTCTCTCTGTCCCAAAAATAATAAATAAACGTTAAAAAAAAATAAAATAAAATAAAAAAAATAAAAGGCAATTGAGGCCATTCATTCTCAAGTGCCAAGGCCAGCACTACACAACCAAGGGGATGAAAGAAAGGCAGACTTTATGACCAGGTATTGTCTCAGTGGAATTTTACTTAAAAGGTTCAACCAGAAAAATTCAAATTCACAGTAAAGTTTGAAGAGCAGTACAACACCCACACAGTCTTCATGTAGATTACTCATTATTAACATTTTGCAACATTTGCTTTTTTTTTTTTTTAATTTTTTTTTCAACGTTTATTTATTTTTGGGACAGAGAGAGACAGAGCATGAACGGGGGGGGAGCAGAGAGAGAGGGAGACACAGAATCGGAAACAGGCTCCAGGCTCCGAGCCATCAGCCCAGAGCCCGATGCGGGGCTCGAACTCACGGACCGCGAGATCGTGACCTGGCTGAAGTCGGACGCCTAACCGACTGCGCCACCCAGGCGCCCTTGCAACATTTGCTTTAACTCTCTCTACATACACAGATATTATTGCTATTTTGGAACATTTTATAATTCATTACAGACATGATCATTTATTCCTAAATCCCAGCATGTTATCTCCCAAGAGCAAGGATACTGTCCTATGTCACTGCAATACAATCACCAAATTTAGGATCACAGCATTGATACATTATTACTAGAGCCCATATTCAAATTTCACCAATTTATCCCAATAACGTTATTGATAGCACTTTTTTTTAAATTCCAGGATCACATATTGCATTTAGTGTCATATCTCTGTAGTTCCCTTTAATCTTGAAGTTTCTTAACACTGATAACTTTGAAGACTTCAGGCTGTTGTTTTGAGGAATATCCCTCAATCTTGGTTTGCCCTATTGTTTCCTCAATGATTCAGGTTATGCATTTTTCGCAGGAATCCTACTAAAGATGCTGTGCTCCTTTTCAGTGCATCATGTCAGCAGACACACATTAATTTGTTCCATTACTGGTGATGTGAACTGTGATCACTTGGTTAAGGTGCTGTCCAACAGATTTCTCCGAAACAATTATACTTCACATAAACAGTTACATAACCAATAGCCTTAACAATTATTACATAAGCTTACCTGTTCACATACGTCATGGCACATTTGGTTATCCTTTGAATGATTACAACACAGTGCACCTAGGAGAAAAAATAAACACCAGATGTTGCCCACTGTTAATTTAAAAAGATGATTAAGCTAAATCAGATGGCTACACAAAACACTTATTCAACAGATTATTATTCATTTTAACTCAACAAACTTTTACCACATACCTATCACAAGCCAAGGCCAGTGCTGGGTTTGAGGACATGGTCCCTGCCCTAAAGAAGCTTGCAGGCTAACAGGGGAGATGGTCATACATACTTTCTGTGTGCCAGAATTTTACTAAATTTGCTTTATGCATTACACCTCATTCAATCCTTATAATTACTCTATAGGCTAGATTCTATTATTGTGCCTATAATGTAAGACTAAGCGATAAAAAGGAAGTGAATTTTGTTTTGGACATGTTAAATATAAGGTTCCTATCGGACACCCAGATGGAAATTCCAGTAAAATCAGAAAATTCAAGCCTGGATTGCAGGTAAAGTCAAGCCTAAAGATCCAATTTGGAAGTCATCAGTATAAAGGAGGTACAGTACATGGAAACGAGTGACATTGTCTAGGGAGAGGTCTAGTGAGAAGTGACCACAGCACCAAATTCAAAAAACACAAAATCTGAGACACGGGAAGGAACAAGGAAAGAGACAGAGATGCAACAGTCAGAGGGGTAGGTCAGCCTTGAGAGAGTAGCATTAAGAAGAGGGAGTAGTGTCATGCACCCAAACATACAAGTTAGATTGAAGAATCAAAAAAGGAAATGGCCACTTAGTAATCCTCAAAAGGTATTCTGTGGAGAAGAAGTGAATGATACTAAGGAGTAAACCAGAGGTGTGGAAGTATAAACAACAAATATAGGCTCTCAAGAAGTCTGGCAGAAATGGGAGGGAAAAAGAGAGTAGCAGTTACAGGAGGAAGCAGGATCAAGTTAAGAAAACCCTCCCTCCCCCTTTTTAGTTGGCCTTGGTCCCTGATTCCTTGGAGAAAGACTCTAAATCCTGGGAATTTCTAGAGTAATAGCTGTATCTTTGTTATGCTAGTGAGGTGGACTCCCCCCTCAGATAGCTTCAGGATGGGGACTGGCCTAGCCAGAAACACTAGCCTTATGTTTAGAAGGCTGGGGTTTTGAGCCACAGGACATCAGCCCAACCTCCAGCAGGAGAGGGAAATGGACATCAAGTTCAGCCATATGGTCAATAATCCAATCAACCATATCTATCTATATGATGGAATTCTAATGAATACTAGATATCAAAGCTCAGGGGACCTTTTCTAGTTGGTGAAGATGCTAGTGTGCCAGGAGGGTGATTCTATGAGGAGAAGGCACAGAAGCTCTGCATTTCCTCCCAGACCTCATCCTGTGTATGTCTCTTCATTTGGCTGGTCTTCCTGATTTGTATCCTTGATAATAAAACTGTGATCATAACTATCACGCTTCCCTGAGCTCTATGCATCATTCTAGTGAATAACTGATTCTGGGGTGGTTGTGGGAAGCCCGGATTTATAGCCAGTTGTTCAGAAGTGTGGGTGGCCTGGGGACTCCTAAGGGCGGCTTGTATCTGGGCTAAGTGTTGTGTTGTTCGGCATCATGCCCTTTAACCTGTAGAGTCTGTTTTAACTCTGGGTGGTTAGTGTCAGAACTGAACTGTCATACACACAGTTGTGGATGAAATAGGAGATTCGAGAAATGAGGTGATTGCCGGAAAGGGATGTGGGTTAAAGAAAAGGCACTGAGTTTGGGGCTAGGGATACAACAGTGAATAAATGTTATGTTCTCTGACTTTATCCGGTCAGATGGTAGAACAAAGTCTAGACAAGAGGGTAGGATATAAGGTCACTCACTAATAAATTAAGAGGAAAGCTGACAGCCTCCATTTTTTTTTTAGTGAAACACAGATTAGGTTTGAAAACAAAAAGGGTTGAGATGGGGTTGAGGGCTTGAGGTGAAATTGTAGAAGTGTGGAACAGTCACTTCAGAGAATAGCGAAAGGCAACTATAAATAGGTCCCTCAAACTTGTATTCTACTCATGACTTTTAATATCTATCCCTCAGGAGAAAAATTTCATGTTCAAATAAACTGGGAAATAAGGACTAAAAAAAGTTACAGAGAATTCCTTACTGCAGGACCAAAGCCTTTAATATGTTTATATATTATTAATCTCCCAAAAAGGGATCCAAGTAGACAGACTTCTCAGAGCACAGAACATTTTTTTCATGCCACTTACTAAATTTCAGAATACCAATTTGAGAAACATGAAATTAGAGGAAAGGAGAAATGTTGCGAAGCAGAATTACAAGCCTAAGGAAATGCATAAATTGGCTATAAAGATAATCAGGCAGGGACATGTTATTATTCTAGAGTGGACCTGACTGGAAAAAAGATACAGCTAGCTGGATTGATTGGGGCTGTCAAAAGAGACAAGAAGATGAAAATATTTCAGACAGCTGGATCTGATACAATAGTTTAAAACAGAAATTTGCAACATAATCTCTTCAAATGCAATCTATACAATTTCATTACACAAAGCAGATGAAAAAAGAGCTTTTTTAGTGAAGGTAGGATTTGTATGGAGGGGAAGGAAAGAATAAATAGATGAATAAGATAAGTCCTCTTTAGATCTTACAAGGAAAGCCTTCTACATTCAAAACTGGAAATTGTTCTCTATAAAACAGTGTCAGAGTATATGATACTACTGGCATATTACTATAGTTTTGTTCCACAGAAGACGATTGTGGGGCTGGCTTTCCAATATTATTTCTATAAAAAAAAAAAAAGTGGCTTCAAGTTCTAAACGCTTGACTTACAAATTCTGAAGAATATAAAAACGTCACTAAATCAGAAGAAGAAAAAGTCCCTTGTTTGTAAAGCTATAGTTACTTTCTTAGAAACTTTAATTTGAGGAGAGAGGGGGGCAATCACTCATGAGGCTTTCTCAAAACACCCTTTCTTCCCTGCCATGCCATGCTAAGCTTCCCCCCACCCCCATCTTCTAAGATTTAGTTATGTCCCCAGCCTCATTACTCATTAGAATGGGGAGGGCAGGTAGGAAAAAGAAAAACAAAACACAAAAAAGGCTCTCCTGTGTGATAATGATGTACTCTTTTGAAGTCCTGTAGAAATTGCCACTTTCTACTAGCCTCTAACACAAAGGTCATTTGAGGGTAAAAAATCCAGCTGATCGTGAGCAAAGATAACTCAGGATAACATATGGTCCCAATAAGCACAAGCTTAGCAAAAAGTAAACAATCAGGCAGACAAGAGTCTGATTTGGGCCTGGGGATTTTTGAAAAACAGTTTCTTGGAGCAAAGGTCTATTTCAGAACAGAAACAAAATGTGTTATAATTAAAAGTCCAATAACAATGGAAAGTTTTATTAAAAACATAAATATAAAAGCCTATTTTTTTCCTATTTAATAGTTAAGGTCAAATTTACAATGTAGTGACCCCCAAAGTTAAATTTTTAAAATAATTCTTTTTTTTTCACTAAGAAACTCCAAGCTTTGGAAAAATAAAAAGAACAATGATCTATAGTCCCACTGTCTTGCCAGAACCTATGTTGACATTTTGACATATTTCTTTCTACTCAAAAGCCTTCTGATAATTCTGACAATATGGGATTACAGAGGGCAGCCCAAAGTCTTCTGGTAATAACTCCCTTCCCCCCTCCCAATGGAGCATTCCTCTGTAATAGTGCATTTCCTCCCTTGAGAGGGCTGCCACCCTCCATGAACAGGCTCAGGGGACCTAAACTCCATCACATTTTCCGTACCCTCTTCTTAACCTTAGCCATTATTACATTGGCGCACAATTTCCTTCCTTTGAAACTTGTTAGAATCTTTAACACTGCATATTTTTCAAGAAATAAATGTCTTCAAATAGACATCAATTCATATGCCTTCATTAAGAATGGGGAGAAGGGATTCAAATGCAATTAACGTGGTAATTAAAGGTCTTTGTCTTTTTTAGAGCTACTAAAATGGGTTAATTGGGTCATTTAACAATTAGAATCCAAAAAAACTCTCCAAAGCCTTATGTTTTTATATGGCAATGGATTCTAAAAATACTTTGTATTTATAATTTGTTTTTAAACTAATTTCTTATTCTTCAAGAAAAATAGTTTAAAACCTGCTTATTTGCATGAAATGGAATGGAACAGATAAAGGTAAATTAGTTCAAAATAAAATTTGATATTCACATTATGAAAATACAAAGCTCAGGTGTTATCCTCATTAACGACACATAAGGACAAGTATCATATTTTGCACTCTTATTCCAAGAGTCTGTAATTATAAAATTAATAAAACAAAAACCCAAACAGATTGCTAAAAGACATATATATTGGCTTTAAGGAGGTACAATCTAGAAACATGCGAGCAGAATTACCTAATAATTAGAAACATCAAGATTTGGCTAATAGTTTGGGTCACATGTGTACTAAAGATAGGCAAGTAAGCAGGAAGCACATGCTCCAGCCACAAGGGAAAAATGCAACTTCTAAGACCAACCAGCACTTAAAACAACAAATACACACCCTAATCTAAAACTAAAATATTCATAGAATTATAGGATTTTTGAAGTTAAAAGGAATTTTGCCACAAAAACCTCCTAAAAGCTATAATTCAATTTAGTTAATTAAAAGCTATTCTTGCTTTCTTTTCTAAAGAAAATAAAGATTCCTCCTAATTAATGTCTTCCTAAAGAATTACTAAAACAGAATATAAATATATATATATATATATATATATCCCGCACTGTTGAGAAAAAAACTAAATCTGAGCTGATACTAGAAAAGGTCATTCTAAATAAAAAAGACATGTTAACAAAAAACTGATCTTGGGGCGCCTGGGTGGCTGAGTTGTTTGAGCAACCAACTTTTGATTTAGGCTCAGGTCATGATCTCATGGTTGGGTTGGTGGGACAGAGCCCTGCCTTGGGCTCAGTGCTGACAGCCTGAAGCCTGCTTGGGATTCTCTCTCTGCCCCTCCCCTGCTCGCACTCACTCGCCTGCATGTGCACTCTTTCACTCTCTCTCTCAA